CGTGAGTTTGGTCATCCAAGTGTTTGTCCATTTGAAATCTCTTACTATCTCTGTTTGATGATTATGAAATCTCCAAATTGCTCATGTGTCCGAATGTTGAATCTGTTGTCTTCTATATGTTTGTCGTCTGTGAGAATGAAATTTAACCCCTCAAACTTTAAACTGGTTCTGGTCTGTTTTTTTATTCTGATATAAGGTTAAAAATATTACTTCTGTTGTTTCAGTTTAACAAAAGAACCATTTTTTTACAGTCGGTAGCACTCATCTGTAAATCTAGCGATTCAATACGTTATCAACAAACAAACAAAATTATCTAACAAAATTTTTACCACTGAAACTTATTTTTATTGTGAATTGATCACTTGTCTAATATAACCCAATTCCAGTCGTGATAAACAGGTAAATGACAACACTTGTGATCTTTATATCTGCACATTGCATTGCACATTGTATTCGCACCCAAACTTTCGAAATGTTTACTGATATTTCGTATCAAAGTCTTGAATTTAAAAAGACTTTATTTACAGCTATTTTATATTTATATAGCTGTTTTGATAAACACCAGGTAAAGTCTAGAGATAAAAACATCTTATGTACTAGCCTCAATGAAACCGCCAAGCTTATATAACACAGGCCATTGATGGTTTTATTGTCTTGAAATTTGTACATGTCTACAGTAATTCTTATACTCTGAATCTGAAAATGATACCCATTTTTCTCTATCACGTACAGATTTTTCACAAAACGTCATATGTTCTTTTACATAAGTGAATCATTTTCATTGAAATCGGGTCACATTTTGTTATGTTTAAAATGTTGACAACCACTGGCTATAGATTTCTCTAGACCAATCGCGACGTGAGAGTCTTATCGATCCTTCTAGAACCCACAAGAACCACACCGCTAGTATATAAACGGTTAACAGGCCTTATGATGTGTCATTTCTGGATATTGTTTGTTTGTGCGTGCATTTTGACATTATTTTCAATATTATTTATTCGTCGCTATGGCAACAAGAGGTTTTGTAAATGACCCAAACATATTCTGTTATATACGTGGTAAATTTGTCGTAAAGAAACAATGGCAAAACATTACAGAATTCGTCAAAAAAGCATATTACGTGTATTTTAGAATAAAACTTGTGGACCAAGACAAATCATGGGCTCCGCATAAAGTTTGAACCATTTGTATCGAAGAGTTGAGACAACGGACTAAAGGTAGGAAAAAGTCTTTGATTTTTGGAATTTCAGTGGTCTGGTGTGAGCCTAGAAACCACAGAGATGACTGTTATTTTTGCTCATGTAACGTGCAAGGCTACAATACTCGAAATAAAAAGGAACTTTCTTATCCAAACCTCCAATCTGCTATAAGACCTGTTGTGCATGGACCTGATGTACTTGCACCTACTCCACCAGAGACTTAAAAAATTCATTTGATGTCAATAGAAATGATGATATGGATTGTTTTCAACCTGAAATGTCTAGTGAACCACAACTTTTCACATAAAGTGAACTTAATGATTTAGTGAGAGATTTGGGCCTTCCAAAGGATTCTTCATAGGTTTTGGGTCCAGACTTCGGGCTAAGAACTTCCTTTCTCCAAGGGACATCATTTTACTGGTACAGAAATCGTGAGAAAGAGTTTATACTATACTTTTTGCAAGAAGGTTCACTGGTTTACTGCAACAATATTGCTGAATTAATACCAATGCTAGGAGCTGCAGTCTATAAACAAAGTGATTGTTCATTGATTCCTCCAAAAGAAGTCTTAAAAGGTGTTCTCTTTCACCATGGCAACATATATACATCTGTTCCTACTGCTCATTCGGTTCACTTGAAGAAAATGTACGAAAATCTTGAACGTTGTGAAGTCCTAAGTATGTTGTTGGGTAAACTATCCGGTTATACAAAGTTTCCATGTTTTTTGTGTGAATGGAACAGCAGAGCATGAAATCAGCACTGGATAAAGAAGCAATGGCCACGCAGAATCAGCCTTATACCAGGATCGAAAAACATTGAACGTGAAAGTTTGGTTGACACAAAGAAAGCCCTATTACCTCCACGTCACATAAAACTGGGCTTGATGAAGCAGTTTGTAAAGGCCTTAGACAAAAATGGCGACTGTTTCAATATCTATGTGGGCAATTCCCAGCTCTTTTAGAAGCGAAACCTAAAGAAGGGATTTTTGTTGGGCCTCAGATTAGGAAATTGATTTTGGATGAATATGACAATTAGGAAATTTGAAAAGAAGCGTGGATTGCCTTTAAATAATTTATTGACAAATTTTTTAGGGAATATCAAGAACCCAAGTTATGAAAATATTGTTAATAATATTATCGATAAATTCGAAGAGTTGGGTTGTAATATGAGCTTGAAAGTTCATTTCTTACACTCATGTATTGACTACTTCCCTGAAACTCTTGATGCCGTCAGCGAAGAACAAGAGGAAAGATTTCATCAAGACATCAGGGAATTGAAGAGGAGGTATCAGGGAAGGTGGAACATCAGCATGATGGCTGATCACTGCTGGTTATTGAAACGAGATGCTCCAGACACAAAAGAAAGACCACAACATGTAGTTTTGGGACTAAGAGACGTAGATTTCACACACACACACATCAGAATGAATGAGGATGCATATTCGTTTGACATCAATGTTCTTCCCTTTCTTCGGTTTATTTGTATTTGCTAATAATAATAAATAAATGTTCATTGTGGTAAACGAAATAATAATTTGATCTAAGTAAGAATTTTTTCCCCCGATTTGTAAAAACTTCTTACGTGATAGAAAACAAAAACGAATATTGTTTTCGAAGTCTGCATAGTTGAATTATGGTAAATCCGTTATTAAAACCAAAACACCTTTTATGCAGTTTAAATTTGCTGGCCTGTGTAATTATCTGGAGTGAAAAGGTCGTTTTTTAACTTTATTACCAGAATATGGAAACCTCTTTAGTAATTTTGAAAATATAGACAAAAAACAACAACAAACTTTTATAGGTATACATTTTTTCGCTAACATTTTACAATTTTTTGAATTATTTGCAGAAACGGCGATAATTTTTAATCTATGGATTTCAGTTTAACGAAAATTTATTGGTCTAAAAAACGTTATCAGCAGGTAGTAGTAGACGATATCCAGATGCGTCACTATCAGAGAAACGAAAACTTGAAACATGCTGTAGTCGAGCTAACAACGAAACATATGTGTAGTAAGTTCACCCTAGAAATAAAAAATGACAAACATTTTCATTCTCATTGTTGTCGTTTTTACATCATTAGTTTTGTCTGACCTTGTAGCTAGTAACACCAGACCTGTAAACAATGGTTGCACCTCTCCCGTTGTGGCTTTGCATTGTACGATAAAGAAAACCGAGGCGTTAGTGCAGCTTTTAAAGGTAAGGAACTAATACTCTAATGGCTGGAGGTTTAGGTTTTGTTTTATCCTTTGTGTTATAGAATCGTACTAAATGTTTCCCGCCCTCGTAATTAATATATAAATTTGTCAAACATTCTCTACATATTCAGTATGTGTCATTAATATTGAAAGTTTGAAAGTCCCTTTCGCTATTACTTACTTACGTAAGTACATAATTAGGGTACCATATGTGCATTCTTATTCTAAAGATCGCTGTAACAAAGAACATACTGTATACAAAATGACAGTTATCTTTTACACTGGCAAGCCAGATGATGACCATAGGACACAAAATCCTTTGTTTTATAATGTGAATGACCATTAGTCATATTCAAAAGGCCTGCAATATGAGAGAATGGTATTCTTCTTCTTCCTAAATAAAACATGGCATTATTAAAATAATATCCTTTAATCTTGTTCCAGGCTGGGAAAACATGGCATTCCCAGCCTGGAACAAGATTAAAGGATATTATTTTAATAATGCCATGTTTTCCCAGCCTGGAACAAGATTAAAGGATATTATTTTAATAATGCCATGTTTTCCCAGCCTGGAACAAGATTAAAGGATATTATTTTAATAATGCCGTGTTTTCCCAG